AAGAATGAGTCTTCTAGAAACTCCAATTTCTTTTTTTATTATTCCAATAGATGTTATTAAATTTAACAGCATTCATTCAAACTTTTTTTTATTCTGCACTTACTTAAAAAGTAAATATTTTTCTCAGGAGTAATTTTGATGTTTAAATTGACGACAATATTTAAATGAAAAATATTTAAAAATAAATGAATAGATATCCAATTTTATAGCCACTCAGATGCCCAAATTAATGCTGTTGGATCTTTTTCTTTAATGAAAAAAGAAAAAGATCAAGTAATGACCAAATCGTTTATGTTGGAAGAAAATATGAGAAAAATAAAAAACATTTATACACCAACAGCCTCAAGAATGTTGTTATCAATAAAAAAAAGAATGAAACACAATAATAATAGCAGAAATAAATATATAAAATAACACAAATATATATATAATAATAATAACACAAATAAATATATATAATAACACAAACAAATAATAACAACACAAATAAATAAGACATAATACAAAGATTCTTTATTTGATTCAAGACATAAAACAAATAATAACAACATAAATAAATACTTAGAGAAAAGGATGGAAAATATATTTCTAAAATTACTTTGAAACAAAGTATTTATGGCTATAATTATAACTATGTAGAATGTGCAACTATGCTATACTGTGCTATATATAAAATTTAAAAAATGTTTCAAGGAAACCTTGTTAGATTTAGCAATAGTTATTGAAATAATGCAAAATTAATATGCCACTCCATTTTAAAAAACTGTGGTTTGCAGACTTTTTATTTTTAGGGAAAGATATTTATATAAGACAGCTCAAGTAATGAATGATTTTATAAAATTTTAGAGTTTCAAAATGTGTTTAAAACAATAACTATAGACACTGAATTCGGATCTCTTTGCAAGATCAATTTTTATTTAATTTTATTCAATTTTTATTTCATATATTGCTATTTTATTCATATTAATGTTAGCTATTAATTTCATTAATATTTACTATGTATGATTGCCTAAGGCCAAGATTAAATGAAATTAAATTTTTCTTTGCTATCACTATTTAAATAACACATCTCGTGCATTTTGTAGATTATTTATACGAGGTGTATCTTCAATTGACTAAAATATTTATTTTGAAAAAATCAGAAGTCAATACATTCGAATTAATTTTAAGTGTGGCGCAGTTATGTGATTGCTTGAATCTCTAAGAATAACGTTTTATTAACATTTGCTCAACAACCTATCCTATAAAGTTACGGTTTAACCTAACATTACTTCGCATATTAAGGTTTGCATATCTATGTTTGAAATGGATAACACAAGGCCACAGTGTAACGAATAATCTAAAGTTACAAAGTAATATGGAAGGAAAGTCGAGACTCACCACATTGCTCGATTCAAGTGAGGGACGGACGCTTCGCCTGCAATTAAAAAAAGAAACGATTTTGTTAAAGTACGACGCAGTACGAGTAACGTCACAGCTAATATTTTTAAAATTATCTATCAGTGCCATGTATGTATTATCATTTGAGAGGAAATTTTAAATAGAAATTTTAACTAAATTCTTTAGATAGAAATTCTAAAAGCCATGATTTTACTGAAAATACATTATGACTCTTACATCAGACATCTTACATTATTATTCTCATATAAAATACAAACATTATTGGATTGGAGATCGTAGTTCGTTACTTGAGAATTTCTCACATGTATATGGATAAGAGACCGTAGTTTGTTACTTGAGAATTTCTCACATGTATATGGATTAGAAACCGTAGTTTGTTACTTGAGAAATTCTCATATGTATATGAATTAGAGACCGTAGTTCGTTACTTGAGAAATTCTCATGTATGTATGTATATTTTAGTATTAATCATTTCAATTTTAAAACTTATATTTAAAACTTACATTAAGTTTTATCGTAAACGTTTGATGAAAGGTATAAACCTGTAATTAAAGTATGTTTCTCGTTTTAAAATCACCAATAAAACGCGGTATGATCTTGTGCTATTTGAATTAACGCTGTATGATGAAAAACCACTTGTATTTCAACGCCCGCAATAAATTGTATTATAACAAACTGTATAAAACACTTCGGTAATTATATTAAACAATTTGGAGAAACTTAACAATTTTATTTTTTCACTTTTCCACGTAAAATTATCCCGCGTAAAATTAACCCGCGGCCGATTCGCGACGATTCCCGCGACTGTATAGTTGCGCAACTCGCTTCTAAAATCTACGCAAGACGCGACATCTGTGATCTAAATTGTAGATTCTAAAAGATTGAATATAAAGCTTAAGCTAAGACATCAATTTTTTGGTTATCTTACTTTAAACAGTCTAAGTACGATTAACGGAATTAAAAAGTGACATTCGGTTAAACGTGATTTCAAAATATAACGAAATTTTGAAAAATCAATATAGATTTAGCTTGCCATTTACTTGCAAAATTTCCGAATTTCGTGCAAAAACGAGTGACTAAAAGAAATGTGCTTCAATGCATTTCATGAATATAGTTCCTCGGTATTAACATAACATAAAGAAGAGCAACTGAGAAGCCGGTAGCGCGACGACATATTTATCCAGACAGCAGACAAACATACTTACTTAAGTACCTGGCACCTGCTTACTTTTGTGTACTCCTAAACGACTACAATAGGGTTCATCATTGAATGAAACTGCATATAAAGCCAGACGATTGGTAAGTTTTTGATACGATTATAATTTTCGTTTTATAACATTTTTTAGTCACAAACTAAATATTTTAATTGTAAAAATGGACACAAAGCGTAAAGCTGTAAACATATTACTTATGTATTATGAGTAAACTGAATATTTATGCAAATTCATACTTTAGACTTTAGAAATTTCCAAATTCATCAAATTTTGAAAATAAACAGTTCAATTGTAAATTTTACAAAAAATGATCACGCATTATAGAAAGATACAGTCGAAAATTTGTCATTTTCAAAGATATCATTATTATAGAATTCGAGATTATTATTAAATGACATATCGAACAAGCAGTAGCATTGACATATAACTAGACAATGTCCCATCGGAACACGTTAATCGTGCAAGCTTGCCATTGCTTGAATTTGATAATAATTAGAATTTCATCGTCTCAATGATGCGTTACAAGGGTAAGCTACTCTTAAACACACTGGCCGAAGCTCACGTGAGTAGAACGAATTACGTTCGTACGAATTGCGTGAACGCGACTACGCATAAATAACATCGCTGTGTGTACGCAAAGTATACGGCGACTGTGACGACAGTGGACACAGTTGATCGCGTGAATAAACACACATGGCACATACATGCAAGGCAAGTACACTTATACGCGTGTGTAGACGTACTCTCACCTCGATACAAATCGGCAAGCAGGCAGCAGGCCGTCACAACACGACGGTCGTCGCATCCCCTCCCGCCGCGCCTCGATCGTCCTCTTCCCGTTCATTCATTCCTCCTCCACGGGACGCCGTTCTTTCTCTCGTGTGACGTTCGTGTCAGCAACATTAGCAGACGACACACCATAGTTACCCACCGTTCGACACTGCACACTCACGGTATTAACCAAATAATGTACGATGTGGATAAATTGTCCGCGACGAATCGAATCGCATCAATCAAATATGATGATATACAGAGGCACCGTGACATGAGAAACTCGTCGAAACGACGCCATTCCTTTATCCAGACTGTTTACATCGTATCAAGGATTGCAATACGGCGAAAGTAAATCGCGTGAATGTATCGCGCACTCCCGAGTTACAGTGTTATATTTAATCGGACTGGAACTGCATTTATTTACACCGGCGATTAAACAGCAAAACAAAAATAGTCTCTCGCGTTCCCCGTAAGATTGCGCTACTCTTCAAGTCTGATGTCTCATGACGTGAATACGGCGTACCATATCTGATAGAAAGACCTTTAATAGGAAAACTACAATGACAAGGGATAACCAACAATACACGTCCATGAAATGAATGTCGTGAAAGAAACTTTTGTAGATTGCTCGTCGAATACGCGATACGGTCCCAAGGCCGTCCACGAACGCCTCGGCGGCGATTTTGCCGCTACCACAACAATCGAACGACATTTGACCAAGCCCTGTAGCACCTTGAATGCTCCGACTGGCCGTAGTATGACGAGTTGAAGTCGACGAATAAATAGGGAGCACCCATAAGAATGCTGCACTATAAAACGGTGCGCTGCGACAACACGACTAAACGGGCTAAGCGGGTTTTCGCTTTCGACTGAAATCGAATGTCCTGCCGGGTAGCCGGTGACGAGAATCGTATGTGAGTTGCGTACGTGTGCGCACGCGTGCATCGTTGTGTGTGTGTATATTGCGGTACACCGAACCGTGCATTTCTACCAGCATCCAGTATCGAGTATCCCGACAAGTAAACGTAACCCTGTCGAGCTCACATTACAAAACGCTAGTGTCGACAAGATGAGTCGACCGATTAAATTACATGTGACACGCGCGTATTGCACTCCCTAATGACAGGTACATTTTTTTTGCCTTACTTTGATGGAGGTCACATCTTCGTGTCTTCATTTGGTCTCTTCTGATCTCTCCAATAAAAATTCATAATTTCGCTTCAAAATAACTTCACAATTGTAGAATTCAGTTTAAATTTTGTATTCAATTTCCATTGTTATGTGTATGTAGAGAAGTCAAAATGAATAAATGAATAATCTTTATCTTCAATCTAATAAGTCACTCGACATGAATATATTTCAGCGAAGTCTTATAATAAGGCTATAATAAGCCGATCATCTGCGAAACATATGAAAATATTGGAATGCTATTCCACCACTGACTGTGAAAGTTGTATTAATTGCAGCTTTTTAATGCGTTGACATCTTTTCGCTCTGGTTTTTATATCTTCTTGGGAGGGGAACGAGAAATGATCACATTCTGTACAAAAATATTCGCTTATTTACTTCGCAGGCCAAATTTCTACTGTTGTATTACATATGATGATGTTATTATGATAGATAAAATCATTTATTGATACATCTACAACATTTATAGATTTACTTTATAATGATAATATATAATGATAATATATAAAAAGAAATTTCTGCAAAATAAATAGCTTGTATCACAAAATGGATTACTTTCATATTTTAATTAAATTTATGAATAGAATTATATTATTTTTTTTCCTCATTCAAATTATACTTTGTTTTCAACTTGTCTATTTCTTCCATCTTCTTATCAACATCAACTCTTTTAAATGCTTTATTACTTTGATAGTATAAAACTACCAGGTATCTATTACAAACATTAAATCCACTTAAATGATCGCAAGCATTCTTGGCATCAAATATATCCTCGTACACAACAAAAGCTGTTCCTCTAGTTTCAGCAGTATTACCCCTATAACAAAGAATTAATCTTTTCATCATATCATCATAAGAATTCATTAATCTCAAGTATTTTTTTAATATAATATTCAAAAATTCCAAAATAGTATAAAATATTATTAGCAGAAACACTTACACCCTAATCTGTCTAATAGCTCCATATTTGCCAAAAATATCATACATTTCTTCAGCGGTAATTTTATAAGGCAAATTCCTTATATACAATACCCTGTTTACTTCTGGAGGTAGCCTTACCTAAGGAATAGATATATTTTTACACAATACAAACAAAGTATAGGTTAGGTTAACAATACTATATAATAAATTTAATATAAATATATGCACTCACATTAGCTCTTCGTTGAAGCATAGCCATAGTCATCTTGAAATATAACTATTTTCTTTATTTATTGCATAAAATAGAAGAACAAAACTCACTAAATGTCTTCTTAACGTCAAACAGTCCCAGTGTTAGGATTGGCTTGAATGTAGTAAATGCTACCAGAGAGCAGCACTGTAATTTTTTAATTCTGCAGACTGATTCCAAGGAAATAATTTAAAGGACATAATAAAATGAGAAATTAAATTGACAATTTTTATTTATAATAACAATACTCCAAAACAAACAATTAAAAATGATACTAGTAATTGGCATTATATACCTACATACATTACTGTTCGATAGCATAACAAATTAGCATAGCATTTCTATGACAAATTAAGTGTTTCTACTTGACGTTACAACTTTATACACCAAATTATGTTAAACATTTATTGTTTATATTTTTCCTTATAAAGAATATATCGATCGTACAATCAGTTTAAAAATTTGAGTATTTTTAGAAATGACTTGATAAATTGACACATTGAATATTAAAATTGGAGTACAATAATAACTAGGTTTTTCATTTCTGGACACTCGTATTTAATATAGAATACGTATTTAATGTATTTATCAAAGTAGATATTGCTAATGGAATGAAAAGATGGCACAATAGATCAATGCCTGATTGCAATTAGAACCGTCAGATATTTCTCTATAAAGGAAGTTTTGTTAATATTTTAAACTTTATTGAAGGCTGCAATATCTACGCTTTGTACATAATCCTCGATTTCCTGAATTTTTTCTGTAAGCCAATCTACGGAAACTTTATCATCTTCTACGACACATGAAATCTGAAGTTTGTGAATTCCAAAGGCAAGCGGAACAAGTTTTGCTATAAATAAATAAATATTTTCATTTTTAACTTAGATTAAAATGCAAATTTAATTTACACTAAAATATAATTTACTTACACGCTCCCCATAAAAGACCGTCAGTTTCGATCTTTCGCACTTCTTCTTCCATAGCTTTCATATCTGTTTCATCATCCCATGGTTTTACATCTAATATGATATTTGACTTGGCAATAAGGATTGGTTCTGTAAATTGTTATTATGTGTAATGTAATATAATTGACATTTAAAATACAAATTCAATACGCAACTTACTTTTAGCTTTCTTTGCAGCATATGCAGCTAGTCTTTCTTCCCTAATTTTTGCAGCTTCTGCATCTTCTCCCTAACAAGTCAAGTATTTAAACAATTTACAGTACAAATCATGAACAACAACATTTACATTTTAATACTTGTATGATGGTGTTTGTGTTGAATTCATGTGATAAATAGAGAATTATTAGTTGAATGTATTGGTATTCTGGGAATATCTGGTGTACTATATTTCGTAAATGTCGTATCATTTTATCACTTTTGCACCCTACTTGAAGACACGTGTAAAGTGTATTAAATGTATAAGTATCGTGCAGAAATGATTTTTAATTTATGTAAATAAAAGGGGATTAACTGCTTAGTGTCCTCCACTATTTCTGCCCACTTGCCTCTGAATCTGAACCAAAAAGATCAACATCTTCGTCATCATCAGCCTTTTCTTGTGCTGGTTTTGAACCTGGTTGAAGTTTAGGAGAACAAACTGCTACTGGAGGAGCAGCAGATATAAGAGGATGAACCTTATCTTCAAGAGCTTTGACACGTTCCTCCAATCTTTCAATATGTTGCTTCAATATATGTGTATTTTGTAATTCTTGGAAGACTGTTGATGAAGATTTGAATATGGTGATCTCTATACTACTGATAAAATAATTAAACATAAATGATGTGATACTCACAAGTAGATTCTAAAATATCCTTTTTGTTATCATTTGAAGTAGTAAAACCAGCAACAGCTGCAATATCATCCATCTGTAAAATAAAATTAGAAGACATTTAGAGTTAAGAAAAGAAATATTAATTCTTATTAAGTAATTAGATTATATGCCCATTAGTTTATTAATTTAATATTTTATTAATTTATTATATTAATATTAATATTGAATATCACATTAGTAAGCAGGTACGAAAACTTGTTATGTATAAAGGGTGTGCAAAGAGTGCAGTACTCACACACTGTAAAGACTGTTTAATATGTTGACGAGCCTTGGCAACCTCATTGGCTAAACTTCCACCAGCAGATAGAATTGGACTAGTAGTTTGTTGATTTCCCTGCATATCCAGCAGCAATATTAAATATCAACTCAAACTAAATTCGTAATTACAAAAAATTTAGTGTTATATCTCCACTAGATGTTATAAAATTTTATTAATATTATACAAAAATAATAATATGCACTTAAGTAGTATATTTATTTAAATTTCTTTATAAATAAAATAGAATAAAAAATTTAAAAATATGATATAATTTGCATTAAAAATGAATATTTTATGAACATAAATATTTAAATATAAGTTTATACACCTCAAAAAGAGTTCAGTGGAGATATTTTGAATGTTTAAAAAGTGAATATACAATAAGCATAACAAAAAATATTAAAATAAAAATATTTATTATCGCTATAAAAACATATTGTTAATAAGCTTAAGAACATGGCAAATGTAAACATTTCCAAAAGCAAACATGCATTACATTCTTCCTTTTCACATACAAAACAAGCAGTTTTTAAGTAAGATAAATGTGTATAACACTTTTCTGGTGTTCATAGAGGAACTATTAAATCTGAGAATTAAACAGTATAAATTTGAGATTCATAAAATAAAGTATTTATAAAAAGGAATAAAATTATGCCATCTTTAGTTGATAATAAGCAGAATTTTTATGATGATTTAGACAGATAATGAAATATATATTACAGTAAACAAAATAAAATTCTATAAGTACTGCATTGATGCACACAAAACATTAAAGAACAGATGACAGTATGTACCTGAGTAGGTAACTGCTGCTTATTCCTTATTAATGGAGGAACATATTCTTTTATTTCCTTAATATCATTTTTTTGTTTTCTATTTCTATGTCTTGTATCTGCTTTATTCTTTTTCTCTTTTACTTCTTTTGTATTATATTTTTTAGATGCATCATTTGAAGGACTAGTCTCTTTCTCCTTCTCTTTTAAATCATTTTTAACATTGTCAGATTTTTGCTTCTCTTCTACATTTTCTTTCTTTTGTACATTCAATTTATCCTCATCTTTATTTGTTTTTGATGTTTTTATTTGACATTTAGAATTTTTCATATCATTTGAAATATTCTCAGAGATCAATAACTTATTGTCTTTAAATTTGTCAGACTTTGTTTTAGTCAAAGAGTTACTATTCAAGAAGGAATTAGTCTGACAATTATTAGTTACAGAAACTTCAGATTTGAGGGAGCAGTTTTCCATAATTTTATGAGACACCACCTTGAAATATTAAGCTATGCAAGTAAGAACTTACGTTTTGTGATTAATAATGTAAAATACAAACTAACTAAAGCATGTCTCTTACATGCTTAATATGTTGTTACTACAAAACATAACTGCACAAAAACTAAATACCTTGAGTAAAGAATCCATGCATTCTTAAATTCACTGAATATATAAATACTTAAATATATACTGAACATATAAATAATATTGATATATTAATTGTGTAATCATAGTTCCAAATAAATAAATAGAAAACTACATTGCTTATCTTATGTTTTTATTTTAAATATTATCAATTATACTTATCAGAAGAGCTTTGCATTAAAAATGAAATACAAGATTAGGTAATTCGTTTGAACACACAATTAGAAATGGGAATTAAGTTCTTAAGAAAAAAATAAAATTCCCAACACCTCATGGAATTACAAGCAGATAAAATCTTCCCTATCACCAGATATTCCCTGAAGTGTGTGTTAAAAATGTTAGTTTTTTTGTTAGTACAAAAGAAAAAGAAACACAAGGCACAAAAAAAAAAGCAAATATTAGCTGTGGATGTTGGGGCTGATAATAATTGACTTTTTGTTTTAACAAAAAATTTTGTTTGTAAACATACTTGTAGATATAATTATTGATGAAAGTCTGCTTTGATTGTGATGATGAAAATGAATGAAACTTAAGATTTACTTTATTCAAGAATTTGTATGTTTAGAAACATTTATTCTACTTCTGTTTGCAATCAGTTTTTTGTCCAATAACATTAATTTACAATTTATTAAGAAAAATACTTACCTTAGCCATTCTTTCAAAATATAGTCGTTCCGCCTTGTCATAGGATGGTTTGTCAAACCATACTTTCTCTTGTGCTAATGCTGATTTTTCCATGGTTTAGATGATATATTCAACAATAAAGATGTAAATAAATTTCTGTAACATGAAATTTTAATCATTTCACAATATTTGGAAATAATTCCAAACTATAATATATTAAAGTATAATTTATTAAAATTTGAAAATATTTAAATATGGAAAATAACAGTATTAAAAAATTGGAATCAATTATATTTATTAAAAATACAATTCTTTGTTATGTATAAAATATATAATAAAAATATAATATATATATGTATATATATACATTATTGTACATAATAATAAAGGCTGTTATGTAACAGTATATGCTAACAATTAACAACTCGGTAGGTAATAATAGAAACGAATATCATAAACTATCGTCATCACTACTAAAATATTCAGATTTAAATTTAACTTTGTTTAATACTTTACATCTAGGGAGCTCTAGTTTATATTCTTTATGATTAATTGTTAATTCTTTATTTGGTTTATTTTTTATAGTATTTAATAAAGAATAAATTTCTTTTTCTTGTTCTGCCTTCATTACACATGGATATATCTCTAATGCTTCAAAATATTCAATAAATGTTTTTAGTTCATCAAAAGAAGAATGAGTGGCATAGCATACATTGAAAGTTCTTTCTTTATCTTTGTCCCATTCTCCTATTATACTAGTATTTTTCTTTCTCCATTTCATTGCAGATGGGATAACTGTTAAAATATTTATATTGCTTACATCACTTCTACAATGCAAACCTGACAAAGATATTTTACTCTTACAAGCATGAATTGGAGTACTATTTGGGTCATTCGTGACATAACAAGATAATTGTGCAATACGACAATAATCTTTGAACATATCATTTTTCACATGAATTTTCATATTTAACATTTTTGATAATTCTACGAAAAGAAATTCAGAACCATATGTAGCAGAACATTCCAGAATAACAACATTCCTTGGGTCTTTGGTTATCCAATCTCTAATGACTTCATACATTTTGAGTATACTTTCTTGTCTAGTAGGAAAAACAGGAAAATCAGTACTGAAAAATGTTGTATCTAAATAAATTTTAGTAAATATCTTGGGTATCAATTTAGAATCATCACAATAATGTAAACTTTTTAATTTTGGAAAATCTGTTGGATTGATACGAAAATCGCCGGTATATAATACTGATATATTATTTTTTTCAAAAAGAAACATTACAGAACCAGGACAATGTCCTGCTGAGACAGAAGTTACAGAAATGAGGATCTTTTCCTCATTTTCTATTGTATATTCTATGACATAGGGTGTATCAATGTTTATTTCCTTCACGCAAGAACTTTTAAATTTAAATCTATTTTCTAACAGTGTCTTTGAAATAGGACTACAATAAAGGCATTTCTTATTCTCATCTACATATTCAAAAAACATATCTGATAAACCATGCATATGATCGGAATGACAATGACTAAGAAAAAATATAGAAGATGTTAAGTTTGCTTCCTCAAAACGATCCACTGAGATGCCTGGTATCTCCTTAATAAGCCCAAGAAAAGTTGACATTCTGATAGATATTTTGTTCCTGTAATTTATAAATTCAGCATCAACTATGCCAATATTTTATTCCAGAAAAAATTGTATTTAATGTGTGTAAGCACATAAGCATATAAATACGTATGAGAAAAAAAGGAAAAAATATAATATAATGTTAAATATCTTTAATTCCATAAAATGTATGAACTTAGAGAAAGTGAAACAATAGATCTGTTGCAATAAAACATGATCAGAAGTAGAAAACAGATGTTTGTAAAATGGGAAAGATAAAGAGCTATATATGTATATAGAAGGTTACAAGTATAAATCAAACATACATTCTATGAATGAATGAAACGAACTAAAAGAGACCGTTTACGAACCAATGGGCCAACAGTACAAACAATTGTATATGAACAATCTGTAAATTTTTCACTTAAACATTATTAGCACGAATCCGCCATGTGCCGTATTGATCGATTAATTCACTGGTTATATAGCGAGGTACAATTAATTTGATATCTGTTAATACTGCAAACCAGTTTGATGTGCATGTGGATTATATACCGCTAAAATACTGTTAAATATACCTTGACTCGTCTTAGATTGTCAGATTGATGCAACAACTGTCCGTTCGCCAAAATTTCTATAAGCCGGAGATAACGTGCCAAATGAAAAGAAATAGAAACAGCAATGTTCGATTAGTGAAAGAAGATGTCACTAGTGTATCTTATTATGTACATACTACCAATGAATTCAACCCACGTTCACTTTTTGTAAAGTATTTTCCGGGAAGGATTTTTTGATTTTGTTAATAGACTACTAAATAAAAACTATTTTTAATCTTTTTATATGTGATATTTATTACTTTAAAAAATGAGTAATATATGGAAAGTTTGAATCGTATTAATTGTTTAACATTATAATTATTTATATTTTTAGCCTTTAATTATACACATAAAATTAAAAATAGAATTCAATATTTACACGTTCTCAAATTTTGTGTCAAATATGTTATGTAAAATACAGAATTCAAAAATTGGCGGCAATTGAGTAACAGACATACTGTAGTACAGTTTACGTTCAGTTCTAAGAGAAATCAATTTTTAGTAAAAATGACTACGCAAAGTTCACCCGCAAAAATGAAGGAATTGCGTTTGCCTATGTCAAGGGTAAAAACAATTATGAGAAGTTCTCCTTACGTCGATACAATCGGCCAAGATGGATTGTATCTAGTCACGAAGGCTACGGTAAGATTGTCGTTTAAATATTGAGGTTAAATGACGCTTAAACGTGTACGCTTATATAGCTTCCATATTTGTTATTTCGCGCGTCAATTAAAAATTTTTGCTTTTCTATATATGTCACATTTACAATATTTATTAATTATTCATATATATTATTCATTTTTTTAAATATATGTTGCATTCGATTCAATAACCTTATTAAGTGATTACTTTTTATCTCATATGTAAATATGAACGAACAAAAACGGAAACAATTTTATAGGAACTATTTATACATTATCTAACGGAAGAAGCTCATTTGAGAAATAACAAAGGGAATTCCTTAGACTATAAGCATCTTGCTGAGGTAGTACAGACCAACGATACATTGGAATTTCTCAGAGAAATAATGCCCAGGAAGATTACAGTCAGACAATTCAAAGAAATGATGGCTGCAAAAAATAGCAGTTCTTCAGAAAGTAGTTCAGACTCGGACAGTGACAGTGAATCAGATACAGATTCTTGTTCTGACAGTGATAAAAAGGCTGACAATTCATCAAATAGTGAGCACGAGAGTGAAACAAAGGAGAATGGCAAATGTGATTCTGCTAGTGACAAAAGTGAAGCCAGTGATAAAAGTGACAGTGAAGATGAAAGTAAAAGATAGGAAAGCAGATATTTATTTTCATAAACCAAGCTCTCTGATTATTTAAAAAACATACCTCGAACTCAATTTAAAACAATATAACACTGCAAACTTTGCAAACATTTGGTTCTTACAGAATATTCAAACTATTTGTCTATTTAATATTTTAGATCAAATACAGACAATAATTTTAGGTATTTAATACTATTTTTATATGTATTCATTACAGACAAATTGAACATTAAATAGAACATCTTTATTAACAATAAAACACGTTTATAATTCATATGCATATTAAGAAAAGTAATTCAAAAAATATGTACTGTGTAGAATTCAAAAGACTAGTGAAACGGTAGAGGAGCAAAAAATGTAGTTATCTACCATTACTCATTAACATGCTACGCTATACAAATTTGTTTATGTATGTGATATTTTTTACTAACAGACATTTATATTTAAAAATTTATTGTATTTATTCAGAAACCTACATCCTATCACTTGTCTTCTTTCCAATTCCACACAGTACAATAAAGGATTTATAATTTACCTTAAAAAGCACCATAATACAAAATAAATGCATTACTTTTTTTATGCTGATTTAGCTGCATTAGAAATTGTTTTTTGTGCATTTTATATATTGGCACATAATATAATTTTGTTTCGTATTTTATTTTTATAGAAATTGCAAAAAGACATTAATTTCAAAAGAGTATGAATCGATATAATGATAATAATTTATAAAATTTTATTCTTGATGCAATTTTTTAGTTGATGGAGCTGTTGAAACTGTATCATATATGTCCTCGTTTAATTTAATTGCTAAAAAATAAATTTCAGCCAAGGCAATAATTAATGCACAAATTATACCTAATAACAATCTAAACCCAAAGTCTAAATTTCCTACTATTAATTCCACACCTATAAATCCAAAAGCAAAACCCGCTAGTACGGAAAATATAAACTGTGCAACAGCTATAAGTTGCTTATTTATCTGTTTCACTGAAAAAACAAAAATACATGTAAAGTGTGTAGAAAAGAATTAATTCTTTAAATACAAAATCTTACTTTGATAGGAAATGCTGTCTTCTGGTAGATTCCTTGTAGTAGTATCTACATTTTTAGTCATAGCTCTATATTTAATAGCATTTTGTTGTGCTCTTAATTTTTGCATTCTAGCTTCCAACTCAGGATTTCTTGGTGTAACTTTTGGAGTTGGTAATTTGATATCATCTTCCTCTAAAAGCTCATGTAAATAAATACTTTCCATGTTGATGGTTCTGTACTCTTCTAAATATTTGTTCAACCATTGTAGCTCATTCAATTTTAATAAAATATCTTTTTGCTTGTCTTTTGTTGATTTCTTTATAGCAATAATAGTGGGTGGAGTATTATTTGTTTTCTTTACATTTTTGCAAATGAATTCTATTAATTTCTTATTTGGTTTGATTTTAATGGAAGGATCTTCTATTAATTCAATTGGCATTCTTATATTTTTTAAATAGAAATGCTCTGTTACTGTTATAAAATAATTGTTGTTAAATGTAATATATTAAATCCAAATTGATATTGTTACAAAGTACAAAATATATAGAATATTGAAAATATATTTGTTAACAATGCTTATGATGTAATATGTAACTTTCTTTCTAAGTCAATATAAAATTCTTTTATTTCATTCTCTTTTTCATCAAAAGTTTGATTTACTTTTTCACACTTTTCACTCATATCATTAACAAACTTTTCCCATTCTAATTTTCTTATTTCTCTATTTTCTTGCAATGCTATATCCTGAAAGTTAATGAATATTAATTCATCAATACATACGATGAATATGAAAATATTTCTAGAAAATAATCCATACACTGTCAAAATCTTGTTCCCTTTGGAGGACTCTTTCACACATACTCAGGGCAACATCAACATTTGCTTTCAAACTTGGCAAATGACAATCTCCAAGTTGTTCTGCTCGATCGAGTTGACTTTCTTTCAATTCTGTTGAATATTCAAGTATCTTGAAAAGTCGTTCCACTTCTCGGTCGTCTCTCTTCTCCTATAAATTTTAGGTTATGCACGACGACAAATTATTACCAATGCATACACAAAATGATCAACCCATTCTTTAATAAAGATGATATATTTTTGCATGATTTTTCACATAATTATTCCTTTTTCTTACATAAATATACAACTATTGATAATGACATCAGAACTTTTTACCTGAAATTCGCGAAGAAAGAATGTAATTTCACCTTGAATAAATGGTCGATGACGGAATAGTCGGCTCCAAATCTCACTTGTGTCTATGAAAATAAAATATCACGAATTAGATTATGACAAATATTTCTAGAGATAAAGTGTATACTTAAAATTTACGTGTTTATAATCAATCGGAGTATGCCGCACCTCTAATAATGGACGCCATGTTCTCCTGCAAAATATATTATTGTTTAAAATTCAATAAAATGGCGAAAAGAGTCGTACAGCTAGTTTTAAAGGCTTACTGTAAAGGAAAGATTTCAATTTTCAAGATCATGATTGATCTGATCATGAAAAAAATTTGTTCAGTGATAAAAAAACTTCTCTTTGACGAGACGTTTGAATTTTTACAATATTCGAGAAAAAAAGTATTTACTTTTATATTTGATGTAAAAATAGATATCTTTGAAAAAAATGAACTCAGTATTATTGAAGTAGAGACTTTGCGTTTTAAAATAAAATCAAATTAATTGTTCTACAATTTTTTGTCACGAAATTATGATATTAAAATATTGACAGTTTTTCATCTAGTGTATGAATATTTTCGTTCTTTTTTTAAGGAATTTCTCATAATTTTTGTGTATTTGATTTAGACCTAAATTAACATTTCATGCTAAACGCTTAGTTAAAAATTACAGCGCCAATGGTGAAATACACTTCCTACGATTCTCGAGTCTAATCGATATTTCTGACGATCGATTTTTAAGTGGGAAGAATGGTGGAAAGAAACACACCTCGTCTGTAAAGGGGGAAAAAATCATCCAAGAAAAAGTTCTCAGGTAAAAATTTAAATCAATAGCTATTAAATTTATGTTTGTATTGTGAATTTTTAAAATGAAACTTGCACTTTTGATATCTGTCAGATTATCAAAAATAATTTTTAGTTCCCTAAAGTTAAATTTAACCAAATAATTATTACACATGATTTTCAACAATTAAGAAAATAATGGCATATAAGTATTTAAACAGAACATACTACGCTAGAAGTAGATTTATAATTTTATACCAAAATTTAATTTCAGTTCTAACCTTTTACTTTTGTTGTAACATTTTCTATTTATTTGTTGAGTTTTTAACTTTATATAGTGCATAATTCTTAACAATTCCAATACTAAATTCAACAATAATTTATTAAGGATGTTTGTATTTAATGGCTAAAATAATAATTCTACTGCTAATGTAATAAAATTTCTCATGTTTCAATTTAAAGTATTGACAACTTTTCATGAAGTGTATGAATATTTTCGTTCTTTTTAAAAAATTTCTTATGAATTTTATATATTTGATTTAGATCAGAGTTTTTTTTATTTTTTATTCTAAGTTATTTCGTGCAAAACGGGCGATTACAGCGCCCCAACGGTAAAACACGCAATATACTTCCTACGATTCTCGAACATAATCGATATTTCTCGGGAAGTTTTATCCGGTCGATTTTTAAGAAAGCGGGAAGAATGGCGGAAAGCACGCCTCATCTGTGAAGAAGAAAGTATTATACAGAAGAATCATTCAGAAAGAAATATCGTCCAAAAGTTCTCAAGTAAGAATATAAATTAATAGCTGTTAGAAATTTCTGTTTGTATTGTGAATTTTTAAGATAAAATGTGCATTTTTTACTTCAACTCAAAGTAAAATTTAACCAAATAATTATTACATATAATTTTCAACAGTTAAAAAAATAATATCATATAAATAGAACATACTGTGCTAAAAGTTATTTATATTTTTATACTAAAATTTAATTTCAATTCTAACCAGTACAAATATTATAACCTTGTAAATGACTAACTCATTGTTACATATAGATACATGTATTTTATTATATGCCTTTACCCACACATGTTTAGTACATTTTCTATTCATTTGTGGATTTTTTAACTTCATATTGCGTAATTTTTAAGAATTCTAATACTAAATTCAATAATAATTTATTAAGAATGTACATATTTAATAGTTAAAATAATAATTTACTGCGTAATATAATAAAATTTTCCGTTTTCCAGACAAAGTAAGACGTAAAAGATCTTGAAGACCTCGAAGTTCAAAACAATAACACCTGTTCGTTCAAGTTATCCCATCCCATCCCATACTTCATCCCACAATTACGTGACGAGATGTGTCGCAGGAATCATTCAGGTATCGAATTTCATGGCAATACCACGTATTAGACTTGCTAGTTTTTCTAACCTATCGTTGGCGTCTCTTGGATGGCATCGCTTCTTCTAGTCTTATTTCCATTTATATTTATATAAAGTCTTATTTCCATTTATATTTCATTAATGATATCATTTAATCAATATGCGTGTATTTGACGAGTCATTTATAAAATCGAATAGGATTTTGAAGCTTTTCATGCTGATTTTTGTTCGTTAATCGATTTCTCTCTGCTTTAGAAAATTTCATGCTTTTTTAATAGAATTTGAAGTTGATTATCGTTTCATTTTTACATATTTACTTTCATTTGATATATTTGTTCCAACTTTTGGTTTCTTTTTGTGCAGGTTCCTTGATTGCAAAAATAGCATGGAATGCATGGACATCACAATCATTAATGAACAATCATTGATGAACTTTCACGGAAAGTTAGTAACATTTTATTCATTCTAGGTAACATTTGCTATATAATTTATATATATTTAAAATATAATTCACAATATGTTATTCGTAATTATTTGGAATACAAAGATGAAAATGGAAAAGATTAAATTAATTAATATTTTATTTCGAATGTGGAAATCATATCTTAATGGTATATACTTTCAAATAGATATATATTCTTGTATTAGATTATTAAATTCAAAGTTTTTGTATTTTACTCTTTTATACTTTGCTACAATTGCTTTAATTATTTTTTAGATAGTTTCTTCAATCATTTTCTAGAAAAATTGTAGTATTTTTTAAATGAACGTACTATTTGCTCTTCCCCTTCTAATCAGTTTTATTTCCAGAAAATTTTTATGACCGCGCGCAATGCGATCGGTAGAGCCAGTGTTTGTGGCGCAGTATTTTAATATTTTTCTAAAAGCAAAATGACTGTTATTAAAATAGAATATTAATTAATTTAAATTATAATTCGCGAAGTTAGAGTCAGTGAGTTCGCCGATTATTACTTAAATGCGCGTTGATAGTCTTTTATTTTTCTTTTTTTGTATTTTTTCTTGTTCAGTGTTCGTTTTCGGTACATTAGAGTCAAAGTGCTCAAGAGGATAAGGCCTCTCCTGGAGATCAAGATCGTAAGTTATATATTGTACTTTAATTTACTTAATTTTTCAAATTTGACAACAAAGTATAATGTTTGATGTTTTGTTACAGACGTTTCACAGCATCAACTTTTTGATATATTTTGGGGAAAATCCAACAGTGGTTCCAAAGCCAAGAATGTAAGTATCTCTCATTATCTCCAACTTAAGATTTTGCTTTGCTTTTAAACATAAATTCTAATGTTTAGTGTTTTGTTACAGATTATCTACAATCTCCCTTTCCCCTAATCTTTTAAGGATCTTATGCTGCTTCAAAAACTAAAAATGTAAGTACTTTAGCATGTTGTATTTGAATTTTATTCTCTATAGTACTTTTTCTAAAAACACTTCAAATTAATCCGAATTTTTATCATTATTAAAATTTAAATTTTCACAAATAACACTGTGTCTTTAGAAACAAAATATTTTATGTTTTTCAGGAAATTTTTCACGTCATTCACCATGGGTATCTACTTGATGAGGGTCTTCACGATAACTTTCCTTAATCTAGTGCACCATCGATGATAACGTTCTTCACTTCTGTCGCGTGAGTCGCATGCATTTATGTTCCTCCGGTCACTCAATCATGTCGTAGGACGAAAGGTTCGAATCGGCACGAGTGACTGGTTGTATACGTAGAATTTTTGATGAGCATAGTGACCGCGGTTATTTTTTATAGCCGTGAGTAGTAACATTTTTTCAGATTTTTTATGTATTAGATCAGGATAGGACTTCTTGTACATCGCGATTTTAACAATTAAATTTGTAGTAATTATAAAATCAAAATATCTTCAATATAAACATTTATAAAAATAAAAATGTATCTTCAATATAAATATTTGTAAAGATAAAAATATATCTTCAATATAAATATTTGTAAAGATAAAATATGTATATGAATATTCATAAATTATAAATAATTATTATTAAAATGATTTCGTTTGTGCATTCCATAGTAGAGAAGACGGATACCTTCCGACTTTGTTGCTATGAAAGATTTATTACTTATTCATATTGATGATATATTTTGTTATAATAATTAATAATTAATAATTTTCAATTTCATCTTCTTTTTTATAATGGTATTAAATATAATTAAATATAATTATGAACTTCAGTAGAATTTAAAATATAATAGATTAGAATTTTTCCCGCAGGAAAACGTATGAAATTTTATGTGCAAGAAGATAGTGTACCGCGAAAGGTAGATTTTTGAATCAAAGCAATAAGTTTGATCACTGCTTTCACATTTTCGAAAATGTGCTTTGATGAAGAAGTCGCCTGAGATTGTTTCCATTAACATTAAATTTAGAGTCAATTGATTTTGATTGTTTGAGTCAATTATTAAATTTTATATTTTTTTTAATAAATTCAATTCTTTGTCTTTAATCTCTTGCAATTTCAATAATTTCTGAAAGAGTAGAGTTATTATAGAGTTTAAA